GCATCTGTTTATGGAAATGTTCTTATATAGTTTTGTTTTCTGTTATCCACCAGCCAGTTCCTTTCACTTACTGCCCACAGTTACGAGGTGCCCGTCACAGAACTGAGGAGCCACCGAGCTCCCAGAACCCACTTGCACGCTGGGAATGGGCACAGAATGGCACGCTGGGAGTGGCCACGGTCCGCACTCCTGCAGAAGTGGGGCGCCCGTAGGAAGGCATCCTCTGTGCTTTGACACACTCCAAAGGGCTCTCCTCCGCGAGCAGGAGATCCTGGTGGGTTAGCATCACTCTGGGCGGTGATGACTGAAGCCGGTGGAGGCAGCATGGGTGAGCTCCTACAGCAAACTGTGCTGCTTCTGCAGAGGGTGAGGAGGGAAAATGGACTGTAGGCTAGCCTGGGCTACATAGATGACCCTATTCCCAAAGCGAGCGTGCAAACAAAGGAACCTGCACAATTCCTCCTTGAGGATTCATTCACGAAGCTCTGGAACTGGCAAACCTCATGAATGCAGAGCAGCTGCTCATTGCTGTGAAACTGCTAAAGCGATAGCGTCGATACTCTAAACAAATTGTCTCCCCCGCAACATCAGGCAATTCCTTAGATTTATTGATAAATTGCCTTTCATTGCTTTGAATTTCCTGCTTTTTTTTTTTTTTTTTTTTTTTTTTTTTATCCTTAATAATGAGTTGTTTAGAATGCTTTCTTTCAAGAGAAGTTTCTCACAGTGGAGAATTCCTGCCATACCAGATACCAAGCAACATTTGCACCCCTTGTTGGGGAAGCAGGCTTGTCTGACGCCATCGCAGTCTTGGCCTTCTTCTCTTCCTTGCTGGGCATTCGCTGCAGCATGGACATCAGGAAGTTTCTCCTTCAAACAGAGGAAGATTAGGTTCAGTTTGAGGTCAGCCCTGGAGTTCAGGCCTCTGCTCACTCCTCTCCCCAGGCTGTCGCAGGAGAAGGTAGTCCTATTCCACCTGGCATTCTATTCAGGGAGCTGGCTTCTGCTGGGGCATCCACATCAGTGCAGAACTCGGAGCCTCTCACTCGCGGAGAACGCGGAGTCTCTTGGGAGACTCCTGTCTCCCCAGACACCCATGGTGACAGATGTACCCATCCTCAGAGGCATGCTGCCCTTGCACCCCAAAGCCTCTAAAGACCATGTGCATGCGTCTCTCAGTGCCTGGGTTCAAATGTGCCCCTGGCCATGTCAGTTCTGTGAAAACAATTGCTGCGGTTGTTCTTTCAAGGTGGGCCTTGATAAAAACAAAAATTTTAAGAAAGAAATCTATGATATGTTAAGTTAAAATGTGTCGATAAGAGTCTTGTAAAGGCTGGGGCATGCTGATTGAAAAGCATATGCTCTTTTCATTTATAGATGAATTATTAGAGACTTGGCATTAACTTTCCTCTGCCCCCGAGAAGCCCTCTGTCCTGGCACCCAAGCCGGGCGGGAGCCTCCTAGTCCTCCACTTGTCTGTGTAGCGGGCCTGCAGGTGCGGTCAGCAGCTCCTCCTGCCCAAGGAGGCATGTGGGAGCCGTGTGGGGAGCCGTGGACCTGAGGTGGGAATGCAAGGTTGCAGCCAGAGGCGTGACGCGTGAACCTCACAGGGTGATCCGGGATGGAGGAGCCTCTCCGGAGCCCAGCCATGTCCAGCTAGGGTGTTGAGTTGCTAGGCATTCAGGGCAGACCTGCCGCAGTCTGGGTGTCAGGAAGCTTATAAGGCCATCTTCTGTGGGGAAAGAGTGGAGGAAGGCACAGGAGCCTGAGGGTGGCATCGCCTGTAGGTAGCGGCTGGGTCAGGACAGTAGAGAATGGCCCAGAAGACAGGTGGGGGTGCCATCTTGCCAGCACCTCCCTAGGGTCACCTCTGCAGGGCCCATGAGGGCTCGTCCCTGCTCTCCCAGGGGCAGTGGTGACCCAGGCGCACCCTTTCCCCACTGAGGTCTTATGTTCATGCTTCGGGCTGTGGCCTTGGAATGATGGGCAAGAGGTATTCCTACATCCTCTTACTGTTCATCCAGCGCTTCCTCTAGCTTGCCTCCACTAGCCATCAGAGACAGGACAGCAGTGGGTGACAGGCTAGGAAGGCCATCAGGTCCATTTCAGGTCCTTGGGGATGGCATTGGAGGGGCTGCCTTCAAGGGCTGTGTAGGAAGAGCCTTGGCTTTGGTTATAGGCTTCCTGTTTCTGGCTGCCTCAGCCTCCTTTCCTGGTGTGCTGCAGCAGTAGAGAGAGCACCAGTGTGAAGCTGTGCTCTTCCAAGTCAGGCCAGGATCTGGCCAGCTTTATCTTAGCTTCAGGCTGCTTGGTCCAGGGTGAGCCCACAGTGGTAAATCAGGGGTCGGCAAGGGTTTGTGGCATGCTGGGTATCTAGGACGTGAGAGTAAGAGCCAGCAGGTGGCCAGGGCTACGACCAAGGAATTTGGGATCCTGTCTTACGGGGACATGAAGATGGGAGTAATACCAGCGTGAATGGGAACCGTTGGGCCAGCACTCCTTGGAGGACATGGTCTTGGAGGTGGCCTTCGGCTGGTTGTATGTGATTTCAGGAGAGGCAGGGAGCCCTGTAGGCCTGCCTGAGGTGTGGGTGAGGACGTGCCAGCTCTTCTGCTCCCGCCAGGCAGTGTGGTCTGAGACGACACTGCCTGTGGGTCCCTGTGGCACCTCATTTTTATGGCGGGTCCCAGCAGGCACAGCAGCGCACAGCTCAGCTTGAAGGCCATGCCTGCGAGGCGTCCAGTCCTCAAGCGGACCTGCTGGAGTGTGTTCACAGTGCTGGCAACGGGCATCTGCTCCGCACAGGCTCGGGGGGTGTGCCTGTGGTTCTCAGGCCGTCTGAGTGCACACTTTATTTTCCTCTTGTGAAATCTTACCTCAGGCTTAGCCATTGCCCCCAGGTGGGGGTTGGGCAGGAGCTCTGATTAGTGACTGGAGCCTTTTCCTTGATCCTCTTTCTCAGCCTATCACAGGATTGATGTATTTTTTTTTTTCATGAAACTTGTGCTTTCCCAAAACATAACATTTTAAGATGTTAGAAGTGCAGATGGCCTGTGACTTGGTTTTCAGCTCATTGTTTTGTGGCCTGTGCTGCCTAGTTCTCAGCTCTCTGCAGCTGGCTGCCTGCCTGTCTGCGTGGGCCCCACTTAGAGGGCACAGGCTAGGCTGGGATGAGTCGGAGCGTGTTCCCTGAGCTTCCCCCTCTGCTTTTTCCTGTCACTGTCCTAGGAGTCTCCAACCTGACAATTCTGCATGACACACACCGATCCCTATGGTTTCCTGAGCCCGGTGCTTTTCAGATTACGGGTTTCGAACCATCATTATATGATAAAGCCAATTTTATGTCACACCCACATGAGAACAGAGGCTGTGCCTCCCCTCTTCTGCGGATGACTGTTACGCTGTGAGGCTCTAGCTGTTTGTATGAATGTCTCCTGACTTCTGAGTGGTGATGTGCCATACGCCACAGCCGAACCTCTCTCTGCAGCCCCCTCGGCTTCCTCACATCCTACCATACTTTCTGGAAGGAAGTGGCTGCGTGTCCTGGGAGGGTCATGGTCAGAGGGAGGAGTGCTGAAGAGTAGTGGCGGCCGCTGAGGTATCGCAGGGGCTCTTGACCTCAGCTCAGACGGGCCTTCTGTGGGGCCTTCTGTTCCCCAGGCTTAGATTCAGTTTCCTGGTCTGTCTCCCTCATCCTCAGAACATGACTGCTTCAGTGAGGCCAGGCCAGAGTCTGCCTTTGTTCTTCTGTGTCTATGGGTCTGGCATGATGCCAGCATATGACCAGTGCCTCAGAGACATGGGTAAGGGTGTGAGTTGCCCTACAGTTTCATGGCCTGACATACCACATAAAACCCTCTCCATGACCACGTGTCACTCCCAGAGAGGGCATGAGAGTCTCCACTACAGGGAGAGTGCCAACAGGAAGGGGTTGACACAAGACTAATGAATGTCTGGGAGAGGGACAGGCTCTTCTGAACCTCTTCCCCAGGAGAAGACATGTGTGAGGAGTGCTGGGTCCTGTCTGCCCATCGGTGTCTCTCACAGCCACACTCTGCACCTCTCTGCAGGGCCAGGCGTTCTAACAGCTGCCTAGAGGAGGCCCCACAGGAGGCTGGGGACACACCCTTTCTTACGGGGTGGCGTTTGCTGTACAGTGGGAATGTGTCTGTCTCCTATGTGAGTGAATCTGCTGACCGTAGCAGGATTCTGAGAAGTGTATTTAGGTGTGTATGTGCGGGGTGTTGTAGGAGTGAGCACAACACCCAGAGCTCAGTGGTGTTCAGCGGCTTAGGACCCTTATCGCAGGGAGGGAGGAGGGAGTGTGATGGATGATTCAAGGGAGAGAACAGACGCAGAGCTGGCCATGGTGGCAGGAGGGTCGGGAGGCTAGCTCACCCCTACCCACCTGGTGAGTTTGAGAGACTGTCTTTAAAACCAGCCGCCCACAAGAAAAGGATATGAGACACTGACAGTTCCTTCCCTCCTGCCATCCTAGCCGCTGCCCTTCTCCTGGAGGTAGCCCACGTGCCTCGACTTGCCTCCGCTGCTGAGCACTTTCAGTACCATGTCAGGGTGGCCCTCCTCCAACCCACACAGTCTAAACATTTATTCTTGAGGTGCCAGGTTGCACAGTCGAGTAGTTTATTAACTTACACACATTGTCTCCTTTGCTGGTCTGGGATGCTTTGGGGACATGACTGAAATGCTTGGGAAGGTGAACAAAGTCCATCCCCTTCACAGAGAGAACCAGTGCCAGAGTTGCCGGCTCTGTCTTGGGAAGCTTTGGCTGAAGCCTGAGCTCCAGGCCTTTCGGGCTACAGAGTCTCAGCTTCCCATAGGACAGTGCTCAGGGCTGTCTTCAGCTACTTCTCTGATTAAAATTGCCATCTTATAAACAAGCTCAGGCCCCTGTTTTATGACTTAACGCTTATTCCCATCTCTGACAAAGCTCTGGTCTTGTATCCACTTGTCCCACCACCTCTGTTCTGCTTTTCCAGGGAAAGTCCGTTGGCCAGACTTCAACCAGGAGGCGTACATTGGTGGGACAATGGTTCGCTCTGGGCAGGACCCCTATGCACGCAACAAGTTCAACCAGGTGGAGAGTGACAAGCTAAGGATGGACAGGAGCATCCCTGACACCCGGCATGACCAGTAAGTCCCTCCGCGCACGGGGCCAGAGCTGGAGAGCCCTGTCGCACTGGCGCTTCACCCGTGTGGTGTTGCCGAAGCAGGAAGGGCCCTGAAGTATGAGGCTCACGCCCCTTGGTGGTTTGCAGAGGCAGCGGACTGCTGGCCAGCAGAAGAGTCAGGAGCAAGCTGTGTTGGCCTCAGACTTTCTGGTCTCTTAGTGTTGGAGGCTGCACTCATGAAACACTGTTCACAATCCAGGAAGAGGGAAAGCCTGAACTTCTGGTTAGTGGGCAGCTGTAGTTGGAACCTTCTGGAAAACCAGAGGAGCTCTTCACTAACTTCATATCAGAGTTGAGGGGAGCCAGGAGGCGGGCGGGCAGCGGAGAGTGCTTCACTCCTGGTGTCATGGAGAAGGGCCATCCGTGTGCTCCTCTGCTTTCCAGGACTTGGTCGGGTGGTGCCCTGACTCCACCAAACTCGGCGTGTGGCATCCTTACACACCGGCGATTATTCTGCCACCATTTACAAGGAAAGTGGTACTCATAGCCTTGCTCATCTCCCCATAATTTTCTTCATGTCCCAGAGGGGAAAACAGAGGCACTGGGCTAGGAGCTACTGACACAGGCTGGGAAGGCCAGTGATTGTAGTCACCTAGGATACAAGCTGTGGCCATGTTTGCAAGGGGCTTTCTAGATTAGGTGCATTGAGGCGGGCTCAGCTCAAATGTAGGCAGACTGGAACTGCGAGCTGGGGTCCCCGGCTGAGTCCCAGAGAGCGCAGGCCGAGCACCACATTGGGCTTTCCTGGCAGACGTCATGTGACCTGCCTCACGTTTCTGGCGTGTGCCTTCCCACCACGCTAAAGTGCACTGTGAGCCAGATACCCCTTCTTTCCTCATGTCATCAGAGCCGTTGCCACAGAGTGAGGGAAATAACTGATACAGGGTTTCAGCCTGGGAACAGGGCTCGGAGGAGTCACGGTAAAAACATCCCCGGCCACCTGAGCTGACTGAAGCTCGATCTCCGTGTGACTGTGGAGCTTTGTGTTCACCAGCTGGTGCTGAGCTGGTTTCTCACTTTTGAGCAGGAGAAGGTGTGATTCGGGGCTTGTCGGCCTGGGAATGGGGTCTGAGCGGCCACCACCATTGTGTGCTTCTCAGATTCCCTCTGTCCCTACAGACACATTATCTTCCAATATTTCTGGAACGATTATTTGTCCAAACCGATCTTTGATTATCCCTCCCAGGATGGGTTGGTTTCTGCCCGGCCTGTGATGGCCTCCTTTGCCTGTGTTAATGATCCGCTGGGGCCTTCCCATTGGTTGGATCGGGTAAATTAAATCCTGTGCAGACCCTGACAGGCTTCTGGAAGGGAGAGTTGGCTGCTGTCCTCGTTGGCCCCAGGAGCCCCTCTCTCAGCATCAGTGGAGAACTTTTTCCTTGGTCCCCTGAGATCTCTTTCCTGTGAGGGTCTGGCGTCTAACCCTGAAGACATGTACGGCAGAAACCAGCCTTCTGTGACCGCGGAGCTGGAAGTGGAGCGGTGAAAGCGGATTCAGGATGAGGTCCCCAGAACCTTGTCCGCCTGGTCCACCTGGTTGATGCCCCAGGCCCATTCAGTGCTTTGTCTGTGGCTTCTGTCCCCTGCAGAGTGACAAGACAGTGGTTTTCTGTGAGCCTTTGGCCTCACGGGACCCCATTAGAAGGCTCCTCTCCCTCTGGCAGCAGCCATGGAAGCTGGGTCTTTATGGGTGCACCGACATGTTGAGGTCCCAACCTTCCAAAGTGTCTGTGTTTGGACATAGGTTCTTTATTAGATGCAGTTAAGGTGAAGTAAGTTGTGAGAATGGGGTCCTGATTCAGTGAGAGGACAGAGGGACAAAGCAGAGGGGGAGGACTGAGAGAGACTGAGCGGGAGATGGTCGCCACACGGAGGACGTGCTGGAAGGTGGCTGGCCATCTGTCAGCCCAGAGAGGCCATCCTGAGTGCCCGCCTTGACCACAGGAAGGCCCGTGTGAGAGAAGCATACAGCAGGGAAGGCCGCTTTGGGGCAGGGGTCAGCCATGGGGGAGGTGTCATGTCCTGAATGACTCAGGGGTTACTGTGTCTGTGGGTCCCTGAGCCTTCATGACATCCCTCAGCAATGGGGTGTCACTGATGCCAGGCAGGTGTCTTTGCTCGAGGGGCTTCTGTGAAGACAGCAGTCAGCTTTAAGCAGGATGGGAAGCTTGGGGGTGTCTCCTCTCCCTCAGGAGCCCAAGATGATTCACTTTAAGGTTGTTTCTGTTGGGAAGCCAGCAAACCTGCATGGAAACACCTTGTCAGGGGGTTCTTTTCCTTGCTGGCCAGGCACCCCTCCCCATCCCCGTATTGACCACTAAATCCCATACATCTGAAAGTTGTCTGGTGCAGACTCCCTCAGCCTTCCAGCACTACGTCAGTTTCAAAGTTGCACCCGCTTCTTTTTATCTTGAATTTCAAATGGGACTTTGAAGTGTGCTTGCATGTCGCACTGTGAAAGTTGGTCCTGAGATGAGGGTGTCCTGTGTGTCCCCAGAGGAGCACCTGCCCACAGACCTGGCTGTCCAGCATGCTCAGGTTGCAGTGTGGTTACACTGGTATTTCAAGAGTTCGGTTGTAACCAGCGGCCAGAAGGTCTGGCTGTAAACAGGTCACACTTGCAGTCTTTGAGGCTCTTACACTCTTGAGGATGCCACCAGTCTCCAGAAGATGTAGGTTGGTTGGGTGCTGGTGTTCTGAGTGTGTTTACTCTCTGGCCATCAGTGTTGGCCGTGTTCTGAGAGGGTCTGGCCATGACTGGAACTGTGAGCTGGTCTAGCCCAAACTCTGCTGTTGTTCTGGAGGTTACACACTGCCAGTGCCGAGCGAGGGCCTGCACAGGAGCCTGCCAGCACAGAGGGAGGCCCTCGCAGGATGGTCACTGTGGGACTTTGCGGCTTTCCTGGGTGAGGGCAGCCAGCCCCTAGCGCGGCTGAGGAAACGGAGGGCCGTTGGGACTGCCACAGCTTATGAGTGTGTATTGCTGGCCTAACATCTGTCAGCTGGGGAGGCGTCGCCTGGGGTGGGAAGCACCTGTGTGTGTCCCCATGTCGCCGGGCAGCCAGCCTTGGAGGCCATGCCCTCCGGGGAGGGAGTGTGAGTGTGGCTGAAGCACAGGGCAGGCCTTCTCTGTCCCATGTGCATTGTTTCTCTCCATCAGGGTACACTGGTCTGAGGTAGGTAGGTCTGGGACTTCACCCTGTGTTCCCCAAAGCCCTGACCTGGGGCTCACCTGGCCGGCAGACTGGAGATGGTCCTGGTGGGCGAACCCCCTGGTGGCTTTCCTGTCTCCCTCCTCGGAGCGGTTTGGAGTAGGCATGTGTAAGGTGTGGCTGATGGGTGGAGACACAGGGAAGTGGCTGGGTCACGAGGACTCTGATGTTGTCGGGGTGTTGAATGGGCTGCTGGGAGGGAACAGAACCTACCAAGTGGGGCTTGGTTGAAGGAAGTGAGGCCCTGGGGACTGAGTTGCCTCAATTCTCTTCCCTTCTGTGCCCCGTGCTTCCGGACAGCTGTAAGGTAAGCAGAACAGCTTTGCCCGTTCTGCCTTACCACAGACCCTCAGGGGTAGGCCAGGTGGCCAGGGGCTGGAGCTTCTAAAACTAGGGCCCGAAAGAAACCTTTCCTCCTTTGGGTTTACTTCTGTGGCTCTTTTGTCATGTAGTGGGCAGCTGACAAATGCCACCGGCAGGAGTGTGTCTTGGCCAGGGCAGGCAGCTGAGACCGTCAGGGTACCATCTTGAATCTCAGTAGTGCTTGTCCCTGGGAGGCCAGAGGATTATGAAGTCACTTATAAGACCACAAACACCATGCCAGGGCTAACCCCAACACCCTTAAAAGTTTGAGTTCTCAGCTGCGCTGCTGCCCTCTCAGAGCTTGGCTGCTGGACTCAGCTGCCTTGCTGGCCTGCTCTAGCGTCTTTTATGGCCCTAGCTTTAGGCATGTGACCTGCATGTCCGTAAAATCAGAAAGCACTGAGTATTGCCAGCTTGCAAGGGAAGCTGCCTTCTGTGGCTCAGATGGCAGGGTCCTGAGAAGCTGGAGGAGGGCTGGCTTTCCTTGTCCATTTTGGCTCTAGTCCAGAGGGGAAGGACCTGCCATCCATCAGTGTGTTCTCCCTTTCGGTTCCCTTCATGGTTCAGCGCAGACTGTTCTCTTCCTGTACAAGCCCCCTTCCCTTTGGACCCTTTCAGTTTGACTGTGCCAGCTTCCTGAAGGCCTGGAGGGAGGCAGTGCCCGCCACATTTATCGGCAAGCATACCCCACATGCACAGCTGCAGCTGGGGCTCAGTTTCTCCACCTGTTAGGCTGGGTAGAAGTACGTGATGTACGTCAGTAATGCCCATTCCATTTCTTAGTCTTTGGTCCTTTCTTCATTGGTCCTGGCCCTTCATGATAGCAGCAGGCACATCTCTCACCCCACCGTGGTTCTGCAGCCTGGTGAAACAGCCCATGGCTGAGCAGCTGTCACCTGGTAAGGCTGACCAGCACTGGACACTTACCTGGATCCCGAGCTTTTTGTCTGAGATTTGCTGCTCAGCTTTTCTTCTTCCCGTTGGTCACACTTGTGTGAAATCTCCATCATTGGCTCTGCTTCCTGTACAGATCCTTGAACCTTCTATGTGAAGTGTATAAGGTAGCCTTTAGTTCACTTTCCAAGCTCTGACAAGCTTCGTCTTATGGCAGGACATGTGTGTTTGATATGTGCTCTGGAGAACTGAGTTCAAGGCCAGTATCTCACTGGGTTCCAAGTCCTGCCTGTGGTATCCTTTCTCTTGTTCTGCTTCTAGGTGTTTCTTTTGTCAGCTAAAGTTTCAACTGTGATAAACTAGAGTCCAAGATGAGTGAACATTTTTGAGCAGCATACCCCCCTACCCTCTTGTTCTCTGTGCACAGTCTCTCTCTCTCTCTCTCTCTCTCACACACACACACACACACACACACACACACACACACACACAC